CCTTAGGAGACAATGTCTCCTGGAGGAAGTGGTGACTCTCTGACGTTGCACCTACTAGAAGACGAGATGAAAAGAAGATCAGTCTCCTGGGTAAGGAAGGGGTCCACACATGGTAATGGGAATGTGAAGATAATCACAATTTATTATATATACATACACACCGTCAGGATATGAATAAAATTCTGTTAGAACTTCAACATTATCATTAGATATAATAGTAATAAGAATTGAAGATTAAAAGCTTGGTGTAGATAGTTATTTTCTTGGTGATCCATTACAATGAGTTTACTACAATACAAACTAGCCTAAGAGCTAATAAACTCAATCAGCAGAAGATCTTAACTCAAAGTCAAAGGGTACTACTTTTCACTTTTATTTCAACAGAATGGTAACTTTTCCACAATTTTCATTTATAATATGGTTAATATAGTCCTTTTTTTAACCTATCTAGCTTGCAGGGATGCAGTGCGGATTAATGAGATCATTCCTACAAAAGATTTTAGCTCCTTGGAGATGAGTGATAGGGGAGTGCTATTTTTACCCTGCCATTCATATATTACCTTGCTCACTCTTTCAAAACCTGAAGGTAGAATCAAAAAGAAACAAATCCCAATACACAGTGAAAAATATTTAATGAGATTTTTTTCACATTTTCCCCATGTCTCATACCTATGCTTCCCAGAGCTTGATATATTAAATTCATTTCAAAGATGATTTTGCATACCAGTTTGATGTCTTTCATGTAGAGATCTGGCTGCTTTGGGTTAGGTTTAAAATGGAATCAGATGTGCACTACTTCCATTTGTTTGAAATGAAGTCCACTGCTTTGGGCTGAATTAATGCAGATTCAAATGTATTAAATTAAGGGCTAATATTATGCTGTTAAATGAAAAAGAGCAATATTGACATCTACAGCTCAATTAAATTTTGAGTTCAATTCTTTGTTTTCTGATATTATTATTACTTCTTTCTGTTAATTTCAATGTTTAAGCACAACCATTAAGAATTGAAATATGTCTTTCTTACAAAGGCAAGGAAATGATAAAATTTGCATTGGAGTCTATTTATGAGAGTCAGACTATAGGTTTTCCAAGTGATTATTACCTTCTTATAATGCAGAAACCATCTTTGCAAACCTTGGCTATATTGGGTAAACACTCTTTCAAATTGTGTTACTTCACTTACTAATGCATCAGAGATTTTATTTAATCTTAGGATAGTTGGTTTCAGTGTATAATAATGTACATAGTAAGTTTATAGAGAGTATACTGGAAGATACCTGGAAGAATTTTAACATTGGTGCCTTTGTAAGAATGCACTCTTAGTGGTTAAAATATTGCCAAATTAAAACATCCAGATAATTTTTACAGTCTTGGCAGAAACTTTAGATGATTTTTTTCTGCTTCTGTATGTATATGGTGTGGGGGGGGGCATGTGTGCTCCATAACACACACATGGAGGTCAGAGGGCAGCGTCTGGCGAAGTTGTGGTACTTTTCATCCAGTTTGCTTAGGACATAGTGCCTGTGATTCTCTGTGGCTTCTCAGCACAGCAGCCCATCTCAGAAGCGTCTGATGACATTTCTGTCTTCACCTCCCAAGTCACAACCTGAGCGTTGAGGCTGCAGACTCACATAATGTCAGATCGCTGTACCCAGATTCTGGAGATAGAAACCCATGTCCTCACACTTGAGCAGGAGGTGCTTTAGCTCCTGAGTCCTCTCCCCAGTCCTGAACTATTTCATTAACAGTACAAGAATTTATGTTGGGTAGCACTTATGCCATTATGGGAACGTTAAGCACTTGAAGACAAGAAGACCACTTTTGAGTTGGTTTACAGAGAATAGAAAAAAGAGAGTCTAAGTCAAGGAAGCACGGGTGGGCTCAAAGGGTGATGTGTGGAAACAGAGATGATCCTCAGATGTGTTTGAGGGGAGGAATAACCTTAGGTGATCGGTGAAAAGAGCAAACTGAGAGGAGTTCTAAGTCAGTGATTCTGTAATGGAAATTAGTGTAAAGCTGCAAATAATTGGCCCACCTGCCCATTATGGGGGGGTGTCCTTTGAGATAACCCATTAAAGGTGCACAGTATGGAAACATTCTTTTGGAGGAGCTGTGTTGACTGTGTGGGTTGAGAGTCATTAATTAGAGTTGTTTGAGATCACAGTGAATGTCAGGATCCCTGAAAGTCACAAACCTCTGAATCAGTGAAGGACCCAGAGATCTCATCTGGGCACGGACTTGGTGTTTGGATGACATCTCCTTAACCAGTTTGCTTTAAGGGTTCAAAATCTGACTAGAAATAATTTGACAATATACATTCCTGCACACCCTTCACACCTTATCTTCACTCACCATAAACCATGTCGTAAAATGCAACTTTTTAAAATCATTTTTTAGCATTTTTTATAAAGAAATTCTCTTCAATTTCAGCAAGCAAAATGTTTCCAAAGGAGAGGGTTGTTTTTGAATAATAAATATAAAACCTCAGTGATTTCAGAATCATTTAAACTTCTAAAACATTATAAAGAGAACTGTAGAAATTCAAAACAGAAAAAAATAGGTGTTCAGTTCTTCTGACTGTGGTAATCTCTCACCTCTTACTTATTCAGAAAGATTCCTGTTGCTTTAGATTTTTGCCAAGTATATGTCTTTCAACTGGAAACATTCACACCTACAATATAATCCAGATGGAGAGTATGTGCTCCTGACTACCTCAGCAGATCTCCCTGACACTCTACAGTGAAGGCATTCAGGGAAGCAGCTACCTTGATATGGGGTTAAGAAGTATAGGGAACATTATTCCTCTCCTAACCATTATCTTGAAATACAGTTGCTGACCCCTAGCTGATTCATTTGCTCTGCAGAGAATTTGTCCCCACCCTATGTCTCCCAATCCAATTTGAAAGGAAAACCTTGCAGAGCTCTTCCTTGTGGAAATGCCTAATGTTTGCCAGTTAAAGGGCTAAAAAAGATTTACAAGTTACTCTTCATATGAAATTTTGCTTCTGCAACTGCTAGTATATTCCTGTGATTATAATATAATTTGAATTTGTCTCCATTTTCTGATGCTCTGATAGTTTTAGAGCTTGGTTGATCTTATGAGTTTTAATTTATTAGTCTGTAGATTATATATTTTTGTTGAACGTCTATAATTTAGCTGCATTTCTGTTGCTGTGATAAAACAGACCGCCAAAGTCAATTTGTAGAAGAAAGTTTACTTAAGTTTGCAGTTCCAGAGGGAGGAGTCCATCATGGTGGGGAGGTACACTTTAAAAATAAAAAGCTTAAATGTTTTCAACACAAATATCAGATAGTTTTGTGCTACAAATTATTCTCAGCAGGAAAATGTTCACAGAAGAGCAGAATGGAAAACGAAAAAAAAATCTACCCTTAATTATTTCACGAAACTACCATGTTCCACTGATACCACAGCCAGATGTTAAGGATGATTTGAAAAAAATCAATAATTATGGGGCATCCTTATGCATTGAAATAGCTCTGAAAACAGTTCGCTATTGAAATCTGGCAATGAATGGAGCAGATTATTCTTTGTGAGTTAGTTAAGTTTGCTTTACAGGTTTGGGAATGGGCTAACATTAGACAGTAATGAATTTCTTTTACATTTATAACTAGTATGGAAAATTACGCTCGTGAGTAGAGTCTGTCAAACCTGTCCCATACACATAATTTCTTAGAAAGCCATGGGGAAAATTTAAAACTAGAAATTAAGGCAGTGTTTCTTTAGAACTGTAATGCAATAAAAATAAGCTTCTGATGGAAAATGATCACAAAGGTATAAAAGAAAAAAACTGGGTGGCAACAAGAAGTCAACCAGAAGAATGACATTGTGAACAGAATATCCTGACCCTCCTTCTGTCTTGAGAAACCGTTTGATGGCTAGCTCAGGAAGTTTTGACAGACTGGCAGAGAACATGGTGAAGGACGAGGACTTCCAGCAGATTTCAACAAAGAAAGCTCAAGGGATGGGAAACAGTGTGGACCAGGACAAGACAAAGAGACAAAGGCAAAGTGATGTTTTAAGACAGAAGGCCATAAGGCACACTGTCCACATCCATTCTTCTGCTGATGGAAACCCAAGTTGATATAAACAATAGCATAATAAATGCATTTATATGTAAGCATCTCTGTGATGTGTTCCATCAAAGTCCTTTGGTGGGAGAGGAATGTCATGTTTTTCTTTTTCTTATTTGTGACTCATTGATTTTATATAAACACAAATGGAAAGAAGACTGTTTCAATGATTTAAAAAAAAACAAACAAGCAAACAAACCTGATGGGCCTACAAATACGGTAATTGTTCATAGGTAAGAAGAATAAGGTAACCTAGGAAATAATTGAATGTTGATAACACAAACGGACTTCAGTATACCATCTTCTGTAGTTGAAGTATACTCCCCAAAGAACCTTCAATGTTATTGTCATTATGTAGCAAATAATTGTGAAGGTCAGAAGTCAAATTTTTTTCTTTTTTCTAATATTTTCTAAACAACTTAAAAAAATATTGACTCCCTCCAAATCCTTCTAGATTCTTTCTACCTCTTCATGGAATGATCTTTCTAAAAAGAAGGAAAAAAATAGGGAAGGAAGGACAGAGAGGAAGAAAGACAAACAGAAAGAGAAAATAAATAAAGCATTGCACAAAAACAATATATACCCAAACCAAACAGTATAGCACATGAAAGGCATAGAATCCATTTGTGTTGGACATAGTACCATGCCTGAATTACGGCAAGTATACACAGTGCCACTCCATGGAGAAAGATGATTCTCCTTTTTCTATCAGGCATTACTTGCAAATAGCTTTCAGGTTAGAGACTCTGTGTCCCTTTGTGTGTCCCAAGCTTTTGTCTGATTTGAACTTGTGGAGGTTTTGTGCTTGCTATGACAAGCTACATCAGTGCTAATGTGTCTGGAGGACATGGTTTCCTTGGAAATATGTACCATCTCTGACTCTTGTAATCTTTATGTTTCTTACAGATAGATCACTGAGGCTTGAGTGGAGGGTTTCTGTAGAGACATCCCAAAATCTTTTATTCTCTGCACAGTTTCCGATTGTGGGTCCCTGTTTTACTTAGCATCTACTGCAAGATGCAGCTTCTCTGGTAAGCTCTGGGCAATGAACTGATCTATGCTACTGGGGTCCTATTCAGATTATCCATTCTTATACCTATGGGTTCTATCATACACAGGTTTATCTTCCATCAAAATCTGGTATCTGTTCTACGTTGAGGTTTTTGATCCATTTAGAGATATATTTTGTTCAGGGTGATAGATATGGATTTATTTTAATTCTTTTAACACACCTATCTAGTTTGACCAGGACCATTTTTTGAAGATTTTGGCATTTCTCCAGTGTGCATTTTTGACTTGTGTCTACAAAACAAAACAAAAAAAATTGTCTTCAGATGTGTGGAGTTGTGTCTGAGGCTTTAATTTCTCCCTGTTGATCAACATATTGTTTTTATGGTAATATCATGTCGCTTAAAATTAGAGTTTGTATCTTAGCTCTGAGAGAGAGAGAGAGAGAGAGAGAGAGAGAGAGAGAGAGAGAGAGAGAGAGAGATGAGTCCATAAAACACACAAAATCCATGGCCAAAGCATGTACATGGAGATCAGTTACCAAACTCAGAACCACTACGATGCCCTCCCGTAAATAAGTGGATAAAGAAACTGCGGTGTATCCACACGTTCACACTGTAAAGCGAAATGTCACTCTGCATTGAAGTTAAATGAATTATCGCTCCATGAAAGACACAGATGAAACATATTTTACTGCAACATGGAAGCTAATCTGTAAAGGTTGCATCTTGGGTGGTTGCAATTATAGAGAATAATATCTTACTGCTGGCAAAACTGTATAATCAGTAAAAGGGGAGTTGCTCTCAGGAGTTGGTAGGGAGAGTAAAGAGTCAATAAAAACTTAGGTATTTTTTTTTGCCTTTTTTATTTTTAAATTTAAATTAGAAACAAGATTGCTTCACATGTCAATCCCAGCTCCTTCTCTCTCTTCCTCCCCTCCTCCCATGCCCTCCCAACAGCCCCCCTATCTCTCCCTCCCCCAATCCCCGCCCATTTCCCCAGGGAGGGTGAGGCCCTCAATGAGGGGTGTCCATAGTCTGCCATGTGAAAGCACTCCATATGCTCTATGATAGTATCATTGAAGATGGACATGCCTTGTATCATATTTGCCTCAACCATAAATTCTATAATTCTAGAAGGTGATCTTTTATTCTGTGTGAGCTTAACTTTGTTTAATAATGCTTATGAATTTCTGCTAGCATCCATAAAATGCAATACATGTTTTCTTCACACACATGGTAGGATGAATAAATATTGACCAATATCTGTTATTTCTATTTAACGTTTTACCTGAGAAGGTAAGATGAAATATATCTTGGTACCTTTAAGATGATTTACCATGTGGAAAGTCAAAGTTTTAGAAACTTTGTTTTGTTTTCAACTTTGAAGGATTGGCATCTTAGAACTTTAATCCTTTATTTGGATTGTCTGTCATTTTTGAAAAGATGAATAACCTTTTACCTCAACTCTGAGATCCTTTCCTCCTTAGGGACGTGACTATGAAAGACACATGACATTTATTATCAATTGGCAAAAGTTAAGGTCTGAGTAACTGCAGAGGGAGGTCTGCAGTAAATCTAAATACCTTTTCAACACCTCTCGTGCCTGTTTTTCTTTGATTATTTTTGTTAGCCCTGAAGCTAACAAGGCAAAATTATTTCTAATGCCATTAAAATGTTCTTTTCACTTGAAATGTGAATGCATGTTTGTTCTTAGTGTTTCTCTGAACAGAACAATTGTCTGAAAATGCTGTCTGGCTTGTTTTTCAGAGAAAGGTTAAAGGAGAATAGACTCAAAACAGACACAAAATTCTAGTCTCTGCATTCTTCACTTTGGAAAACAGTTTTAGAGTTGAGTCACTTTAAGAAAAGAATGTGGCATTGACAACCACCCTTAATTTACCTTGTTCTTAAAATTTGTTTAACCAGTTGTGGTGGTACATGATAACAATCCCCCCAAAATAACAGCTAGTGAAAAGGGTAATCGGGTAATCTTTTATTACAATAATGTTCTATTTGGCTTTGGAAGTTTCCATTCTTCAGTCTTAAGTCAGTGTTATCAGTTGCTAAAAAGATTGTTAGATTAATTTATTTTATATGTATAAGTGTTTTCTCTACAAACACAATGCCCGTGTTGGCCAAAAAGGAGCAGAATAGTTTCCGGAACCAGTTTTAGACAGTTGCAAGCCACCATGGAGGTGTTGGAAAATGAACCTAGTTCTCTGGAAGAGCAGCGGATGTCCTTAACCCCTGAACCATCTTCCTAGCCCATTTGTCACCGTTTTGCCATCCATGCTCAGTTATGCTCTCCCAATATTTTCTGGAAGTTTATCTCATTTACTGAAAAGATTTTTCCATAGAAAAATGCTTTTCCATTTTACTTACAACTCTGAGACTGGCATTTAGGATCAATAACATTTTGTAATTTGGTTCCCACCTTTTGGAAAAGATTATGTAAGAGACTCTGTTGGTGGCAAACATCATTGTCATTTAAAATTCAATAGTAACTGTTGGTATTATTTACCATGAAGTAACTATTATGGTCTTTTATATAACACAAGTACATTTAACGGTGTAAGTCAGAAGACTCTGGTTTTTTATGTTTGAAAGCCTTTCTTAACTTCTGCACATTAATGAATGCATGGGTGTTTTGAAAGAATCTGTATTATATTTTGCCACCACCTCCTGCTTACAAAAAGATCCCTGCAAGGATTGGAATGTGTTTCTCAGTGGAAGTTCTGATGCCTTTAAAAACAGAGACTCTCCCTGTCTTGAAGCTATCAAAAATGCCAGCACTTTTACACTTGAGAATGCACAGAGTCATCAGGCCCATCTAATTTAAAATTCCCTTTTTTTTTCACAATTCTATTTCTGTGGTGCTGCAGCAGAAATAGCCCAGAGACTTGGTTCTTTCCAATGTGAGAAAAATCCCAAACAAATCTAAGTGACTAGGATCATCCATCCTTAGAATCAATGGCTTCCCATGTCAACTGCCCACTAATTTTGTGTTATTTGTTACTTTATGCCAACACTTTAAGGGTTAACTATTTCCTTTGCTTATTTTACTTTACAGCTTTTTCATTAGTGAGTTAGAAACCTGAGTGCAAGAAGTACAATGAAATAGTATACAAAGAAGAACATTTTTTTTCCTTGTGGAAACATTGGTACTAGAAACCATTCTAGTCCTACAGTGTCAGATTTTATTGTCAATGTCGCTATTATTATTTTTAAATTAATTATTATTATTGCATATGATGGGCAATCCATGTAGCACTGAACTATATTCCTAGGCCTGCGATGACAGCCTTGAAGAAAAGCCTTCATATTGATAGGAAGTTAATTAAAATTATAGTAATAGTAACAGCACCCACAACACGTTGCACACACATATATAATATGCACATGCATATGTACACACACATACTTTATTTAGTTGTGGCTTCAGTAATAGCGAATTATTTGTTTTTTTCAGGAGTGTGGACCCAGTGTGTCTTGCTGGCGTTGGCAGAGTAATCTACCACTCTGTTGGAGGAGGGCTGCAGTGACGCTGTGACATTTTCCTGCAGGGCTCATGATGGTTGCCGCGGCTGCAGCAATCCCCTTGAACAGACATGCCTGCCTCTCACAGTCATCTTTGCAACTCTTGGCTTCTTGCTGCTTCTTTCCTCACAAGTGCTCAGTGAGCTCTCACTTCTTCAGAACCAGTCATATTTGCATAAAATTGATAACCTGAAAAGGTGTTTGTCATTAGTCGAAAGGAAAAGATGAGTATAAAAGGGCTGAGGTGTTTTGCAGGTGGCCGGTTCTTTTCTTCTTGAGCTCCAGGGCTGGAAACCAAGCCTCGGACCTGGAGCTCGTTCAACGCACACTGCACCACTGGACTGAATCCCAGCCCCTAGGTTTCCAGTTCTGTGTCTGCTTTGAAATTGTCTCCAGAGTCGGGTTGCTGACGGTCTGTGTAGTTCAGTTTCTCTATATCCAAGGTTTGACTTGTAGTAGGCGAGTCTGAAGACTAAATCCTTTTAGTTATCTCTTCTGTTCCGTTTTGAAGAGGCATGCAAGCCAGCTGCCATGAGTAGGGAATAGAAGAAATACCAGTAGTTGAGGAATGGAGACGCAAACTTAAGATGCGCTTACAGTTGTTGGTGTCTTTTGAGATGGTCATGATTTGAGACCATGTAGTTCTCCAGATTGTTGAACCCACAGGGATTTCCTATGGGGTTGCTTGCTTGGAAACCTTCCTGGGCAATCCGATTAGCCTACAGTTGAAGCTCTCCCACACCAATGCTGTAGGAAATTACAATGCTGTGGGGAAAATACCACACACACACACACACACACATGCACGCACACACGCACCGACACACACACATACACACAGTCTTGAAATTAATTTTTCAAGCCTACATTCACCAATGTACACTGCAACCGATTATTTGAAAAATGATTATAAGGTTACCTTCACCTAATATTTTAAAGGTTGGACATAAAAGCTTCCTTCGTATAAATTGTACTTGACTGACTTTCCCACAATGCCTTGCTACTGAAGAGCTGCAAGGGTGATTATAATCCTAGCAATTCAGCAAGAAATAAAACCCAACCAATAAAAACACAGATATTTGCATATTCGATTTTGCTTTGCCATCAAACTTACAGCCTTTCAAGCACCACACTAGGAAGATACCTTTCCAAATCTCCAGCAATCAGTACAGACACTTTGATTTTTGTTGTTGTTTGGCTTTATGGAACAGGTTCTGTGTAACCCAGTCTGGCCTCAAACTCTCAATCTTCCTTTCTTTAGCTCCCCAGTGTTGAAATTACAGGTGCATAACCACCAGACCTGGGTTCAATTCAGGCATTAACTTCATTAGTTTTTAAACTGAGAACTGACACTGCCGTATGTAATTTAAGATTATCCATCAACATGAAACAGCTTTACTTTTGTCTCTTCTACTGAAAAGTTTGATGCGTAAGGTCAAATGCTTGAAACCGAAGTAAAATAATACAGCAAGCACAGCCACTTTGGTGTTTGGACAGGGATCTGTGTGCATGCACACTCCTCACACACAGGCATAGGCAGGAGTGTGTAGCTAGTATGCTAGGATAGACCAGTGAAGAGTAAAACTGCTTGTGCAGATGATTAACAGCCAGAGAGCAGTGTAGGGGCGGAAACGGAGGGACCATACTGTCCTACCTAACTTTGGGAGTCATTGAGAATCTTGCTCTCAATCAGGTCGTGAAGTCACACAATTACTGAGTACAGATAGTGTGAATGACACACAGTAAAGTGAAACTGAACGTCCTGTAAAATGCTAACAGTCACATATCACGGAATATTTATATTCATACTTAGAAATGACATTAGCCTAGCAAGCAACTAGGATCTAATCTGAATTATGTATATGTTTTAAAAAAGTTATGATGGTTTTGCAGGCTTGGGCCCAGGCACACATCCATAATAATACACATTTCTCTTATGATGTCTCAATAGCTCAAATTCCAGCAGGTAATATTAAAGTAATAGTTTTGGCCAGAATTAAACAGATACTTATAAACCGATGAATTAATACGTACAACAAAACATGCTGTAAATATAACTAAGAAGATTTCAAAACGATCTTTAGGAGTCATAATGAATTAAGCATAATAGAATGGCTCAATCTTCCTGTCAAGAGTCGATAGGCATCTATTTTCTGCTTTGTTCTATATACACACATTTTCCACTTGGGTGCAAACATGGCTAAGATCCTGGGGCTCATTTTAGAAACTGCTGCTGCATGGAGACAAGAAAACGATCATGGCAATATCAGCAGGGCTCTCTGCTTTTGCGTTATATTAGTTATTCAGTTTGTAAATCAATATGAACTACGTAGGCATGCTATAAGCCTAATCACCATGCAGGGCAGTTTGTGCATCGCTGTGTACACGACATATACACCAAGGACTGATGTAAAGGAGAATTCTTCCCTTAAAACTTAAAAAAAAAAAAACAGGTCTCACAAAAGAGATTGCAATGGAAGTTTTCCAAGGTGACAAATTGTGAGATCCTTTTTTTTTTTAACAAGTAGGAGTTGTTTTCTTTCCCTTCTGAGATTTGCTGTAAGTGCTTACACATAGTTTTGTGGTTTGGGACGAATAATGTGCTAAACGTTTGAGAAATTCTGCTGTCAGGTACCCTTTATAGCCAGCAATTCCTCCTTTCAGAGTTGGAGGTCTCCAGGAACAATTCTATCTACAAATTCCTGTCCATACTCCTCTGGGTCAATTTAGCTCTGACTAACACTATTTCCTTTAGCATGTCTGCTGGGATTTGAGACATCATTAGGGAAATGCGTGTGACTGTGGATGTGCATCTGGGCCACAAATCTGCACAGCCCTTACAGCTTTATGAAATATGAAAGGATTATAGTTAGATGTTAGTTACTTGCTAGTTTATATTCGGTTTTAAATATTTTTTTAATTCTTGAAACTGAAATATGATTACATAAATTTCTCCTTCCCTTTAAGCCCTCCAACCCTTCCCATGTACCTACTCCCATTCAAACACATGGCCATTGTTACTTATACATATATTCCAAAATATATCAAACAGCCTAGTAGGCTTTCTATTGGTTTGTACCTTGTAAGTAAAATACTCCCGTGTGCCAAAGAATATACACACAAATTTTTTTCTATCATTTTGCACACTTTCTGTTCCTCTTCACAACTATATACTTTGTGTCTATTAGAATATTATTGTAAAACAATTGTTAGAGTGCTTCAGTTTGTAATGTTCATTATAAGACAGTTCATGCAAATATCAAAATTTATGCCTTATTCTTCTAGTTATCGATGGCAATCTCTAAATCCTTCTGGAGCACTTGGATTATTTAATAGGGAATATATCTGCTTTTGATATAAGGAACGAAAGCCAAATAGTTTAAAATGAAGTCTTAGATGAATGTCTCTTATTTTCTAATTGCACACATTTTAAAAGCATATGATTTGTACAAAATGCATTGTTCATACAGATTGTAACACATTTGTTATTTTCCACTTTCTTTGATAATTTAGGATAAGTTAGGTGTTTTAGGAAAGTTTGTGTTTTCTTCCGTAACCTGATCAAAGAAACTGAACATAATGTGAATGAATGATGACTTCAACCAGTGGCCTCTCTGATCCCTGGCCCCTAAGCATTGTATGTTATATTACTTCATAAATTTATACTTATTGTTATATAAGTATTGAGGAATATTAGTCTACACAAGATAGGGATGTCATATGATATTTATTTAGGGAGAAGTCACTTACATGAGAAGCCGAGAACCCAAGGTCAGCACTTGTTGCTCTCCAAGACCCGACTGGAACCCCAAGCAAAAGCATCTCTTTCCCTCAGCTCTTTATCCCTGTACCTTCTACATACCTGTGACCACGCCCATTTGGGCATGGTCAGTATTACAGGTACCTAAGATCTCTCCCTACAATGTAAGTAATAATAATTGCTCGTAGTATACAACATAATACCACTTCATACCTGTATTTATTCCCTGCAGAGGTCAGAGGAGGTCACTGGATCCTCAGTATCAGGAGTTATGTATCCTTGTGAGTCATCGTGCATTAGAAATTTGAGACACACTCAGGTCCCTCTGGAAGAATGGCAAATGCTCTTAACCACTGAAACATCTCTTCTGCCCTGAATACAATATATTTAATACATTACAAGTAGTTAAATTGGCCCTGCAAACAAATACATGTATCTCTTGTAGATCAATTTAGAAAAATTCTAGTTTTCTTGAGGTATTTTCTTGGTAGCTAATTCAAATTCATACATCTTAGATGTTGCTGAATTGGAAAGAAAAACAATACATTTTGTCACTGCATCCCTGTGAATTGTGCTTCATTAATTTATTACCCTTTTCCTTACAGAAGCTTCTCAGTTTCAAGAGGTCCCATTTATTAGTTGTTGATCTCAATGTCTGTGCTACTGGTGTTATGTTCAGGAAGTAGTCTCCTGTTCGTTCAAAGGTACCTCCCATTTTCTCTTCTAAGATGTTCAATGTGGCTGGATTTATGCTGTCTTTGATCCATTTGGACTTAAGTTTTGTGCATGGTGATAGACATGGATCTATCTGAAGTAATCTACATGCCAGCATCCAATTATGCCAGGACAATTTGGTGAAGATGCTTTCTTTTTTCCATTGTATAACTTTAGCTTCTTTGTCAAAAATTAAGTGTTCCTAGGTGTGGGGGTTAATATCAGGGTTTTGGATTCCATTGGTCTACCTGTTATCCCTGATCTCTCTAGGACCCTTATCATGAAGGGATATTGGATTTTTTCAAAGGCTTTTTCAGCATCTAGTGAGGTGATCATATGATTTTTCCTTTACAGTTTGTTTAAATGGTGGATTACTTTGATGGATTTTCATATGTTGAACCATCCCTGCATCCCTGGGATGAAGCCTACTTGATCATAGTGGATGATTTTTCTGATGTGTCCTTGGATTCAAATGTCCAGTATTTTATTGAGTATTTTTGAATCAATGTTCAAGAGGGAAACTGCTCTGTAGTTCTCTTTCTTAGTTGTGTCTTTGTGTGTCTTAGGTACCAAGGTAATTGTAGCCTCGTAAAAAGAGTTTGGCAGTGATCTTGTGGACTTGCATGGATGTACTTGAACATACAAAGACACAACGTAAGTGAATGTAAAGAGTTAAAATTCAAAAAGAAAACCATGATTCTATGATTGTGTCATTGTTGCTGAGCAGTTCTGACTTTTCTTAGCAATCGATAATCACTGTGATTTGGAACATCCTCTGAGTATGCTCACTAGGGAGGCACCCGTGGGAGTTCCTCAGCTGAGGAGGGTCCATGGCTAAATAAGAACTCTCATTGTGAACAGACACGTGGATCTAATGCAGTCAATTTAAATACAAAACATCTGAAAGCATCAAAGACCTCTAGAAAGAATCTAGGATCCTATCTTCCACTTTCCCCTGATCCTCTTCTACAATATCATAGCTCTCCCTCCCACCATCACAAATTCAAAAAGAAAGAAAAAAACTTTGTAACTGACTAGGTCCCTGTAACACAGAAAAAAATTAGCTCCACAAATCAGTTCTTGTTGTTGTTGGATAAATTAAAATTGGTTATACGATGAAAGTCAAGCTAACTTCACCAAACATACATCTCCAGCCTATGATGTGTGGTCCACATATGGCAGCATGAAGCCAATGATAGTTGTGAATGCTGCCTAACATAAAATAGTAAGCTTTCCAGAGAAGGGGAGAAGAGGAGGGTGGAGGAAGACATGAGGGAGCAGGAAGATTGAGTTAAGAATAGAGGAGAGCAAGAAAAGAGATACGTTAATAGAGGGAGTCACTATAGATTTAAAGAGAAATCTGGCACTAGGGAAATGTCCAGAGATCCACAAGGAAGACCCTAACTAAAAATCTAAGCAATAGTGAAAGGGCTATCCTAAATGCCCTTCCCACATAATGAGATTAATGACTGTCTTATATGCCATCCTAGAGCCTTCATCCCGTAGCTGATGGAAGCAGAAGCAGAGACCCACAGCTAAGCACTGAACTGAATTCCGGGAATCCAGTTGTAGAGAGGGAGGAGTAATGACCAAAGGTGTCAAGAACAGGCCGATAAAATCCACAGAAACAGCTGACCTGAGCAAGGGGGAGCTCATGGCCCCCCGACTGACAGCTTGGAAACCAGCATAGGACAGAATCAGGCCCCTTGAATGTGGGTGTCATTTAGGAGGCCTGGGCAGTCTATGGGGCCTCTGGTAGTGGAACAGTATTTATCCCTAGTGTATGAACGGACTTTGGGAGTCCATTCCCCATAGATGGATAATTCTCAGGCTAGACCCTCCCCCAAATGATATGACAGACTTTGTTGATCCCCCATTGAAGGTCTTACCCTTTCTATGGAGCAAAAGAGGGATTGGTGGGGGGGCTTGGAAGGATGGGAGGGAGAGGGAACTGGGATTGATATATAAAGTAAGATTGCTTCTAAATTAAATAAAAATCA